TTTTTTATTACCATTGTAGGGGTACTATTTTTCCTTGTAGAGGCCCCAATCCTTAGATAATAATGAAATAATAAAATCTTTTTGGCCAAACAAAACATGCATGTGCCACTTTTGAATAGTTAAAAAAAAAAACCAAAAAAACAAACAAACAAATAAACAAAATGTTAATTGACTTTTTTATTTCCTGAAATTTTGTTTTGTCTTAAAAAAATTATTTTAATAAATATTACTGTCTTGGCTGCTAAATTACTGTCTCCAACAATAATTCAACTGTTTGAAATAATAATTTAACTGTATTAATTAATTTTATCGTCTTGACCTGTAATTTTGCTGTTTTCGACCGTAATATTACTGTCTCCGACCGTAATGTTACTGTCTCATGCAATAATATTACTGTTTGGGACAGTAATATTAGTAATATTAATGTTCGGGAAAGTAATATCCATAATATTATTGTCCCAAACAGTAATATTATTGTCTAAGACAGTAATTTAGCAGCCAAGATAGTAATATTAATTAAAATAAATTTTTTTAATAAAAAAAAAAAGTCAACGCCGGAGACCAGCGGTCAACGGCGGTTGACCGGCTGGTAAAAAAATTCAGAAGAAAAAAAGAAGTCAACGCCGGAATCTTGCTTAGAAAAAAATTATTTTCAGAAAAAAAAATTATTTTTTCAAAAAATTATTAAAATGGGGATCAATGTGATATATTTTTTTAAATGCGGGGTCAATGTGTAATATTGAGGAACTTAGAGTATAATGGATGGAATTGATAAATAAATATATTATGGAGGGTATTTTAAGCTAAAGACATGGGATGAGTTTCTTTGAAAGACTGTTTTTTTTGTGGACCAGTGTGCGTTTAAGTCTCTTGTCATGTTCCTTTTTGTCATTTGTCCTTTAATTAATTATACCTATGAATTATGCTCTAGGTATCAGTTTAAAGTGTTCTCGTCGAAACACTTTTTCGGGGAATACGATGCTACACCCGGTGAAAATCACCGGGTGGCTCTTTTCTTGACATGTGTCCTTTTTTTATTTATTTTATAATTATAATTCTAAAAACCCATTGGGCCATAACTGAACCCTAGTGGGAATCTTATTAATTACGGTGCCTGGTTATATTCACCAGGTGTAGCATAGAATCTCCCCACTTTTTCAATGCAGTACATGTTCCACTTACTGTAAATATGCAATACCGATGTGATAGTAGTCGCTCTTGATCTTCTATCCCTTATCCCTAAATCCTTAATTGCGGTTGATTAGATTATCCTTTGTTCTCGTAACTGGTACTAGTCCCATAGAAGCTCTAACTCTTGACGGCGTTCTTGGTGAGTGAATAGCTCTAAGTGCCTAAATTAATGGATTGACTACTTGATGTTAAGCGTATACTTTTACACTTAATTGTACCTTTTAATTGGAGCTTTTGGTGTGTTTTATTGATAATTGGTGATTAAAATGTTGATTTAATGTGTTTTAGTACAAATTGATGAATTAGATAAATAAAAGGTCAAAATTGTAATTTTGGAGAAAATATGGGTGAAAAGTGAAAAAATAAAAAAATGAAGAATTATAGCCCAGACGGCCGTCTGAGAAATACACTTAAATCTGCGATGGCCGAGAAACAGAGGCAACCTCTGCTTTTGAGACGGCCGTCCGAGTTTTAATACAAAATCTCAGACGGCCGTCCGAGAAGGCGTAAAGGCACAGTAAAGGAATCCTAATTGCACAAGGAAACTACCTTTTTCTCCAAGTTTTCCACCCTATATAAGACCAAGTCAAGCACACAATTGGAGATTAAATCTTTTACGCAATTTCAAGAGCAAAGAAGCAATAACGAAGACGAAGAATTCGAAGACTACAAGCATAGTTTATCTTTTCATGAATTATTATTTTGTTTTTACTTTAATCATGAGTAACTAATTTATTTATTTATAGGATTTTATTTCGAACCCTATGTGGGATTTATGAACTCAATTCTATGATTTTATGCTAGTTTTAATTCCAGATTATTTCTTCTACTTGTTTTATTAAGTGCATTAACTTGATCACCTTATGTGCTTTTATGTTATTGTTAATCGCATGAATCGGAAGATCGGGTTAATAATTACAACTGTGGTAGAAGAGCATTTGTAGTATTAACATAGGAATATAGTTAATCTCTTAGGTAGCCATTATTGAGATTTGTGCTTAATGCTGTGTTCTAGAATTAATTGCGTAGGAATATAGTAATTGAATCTAGAGTATTAGAATCGTAATATACGCGGAAGCGGGTTATAATTAAATTAGCATCTTAGGTTAATAATCCGAGTTAATTACTTGCATAATTGAAGGAATTTGGGGGAGTACTAATCACATAGGGGGGAGAATAAAATCCTAGGCTTGTTTATTTTGATTGAATCTTCGTTTTAAATTGCTTTCTTGTTTTGTCTTTTTAATATTGTTTTAATTGCTTTAGTTTAATTTAGTTTATTAATCCTCTTTCGACCGTGTAGGATGGGCTTGACAATAATTGCTAGGATTTAGCGTCCATAATTAAGTAATTAAATATTCTTTGTGGAATCGATACTTAAACTTAAAAATCTACTTGTACGATACGCTCACTTGCGTGTAGGTACTAGGTATTACAACCAACACTTGACTCCTTAGCCTTGGCGGCTCCAGTTTTTAAATATAGGATTGTGTTTTTTCAACTTTCAGTTACCAATTTTGAGAAATTAACTACATTAGATACAAATCTATATAATATATAAAAGTTGAATTCCACACCTAATTGATTGACATTTGTCAATTTCAATTGGTGACATGTATTTAATTTCATCTCATGTGGCAAATTGATTGGTGAAAATAAATCATCAAAAAACATGTCACCATTTTCCAAAATTAAAAAATATTAAATTATTTTATTATATATTTATATCATACCATTTATAAAATGCTATAAATATATCAATTTTCTTGGAAACTCTAAATAGTTTTATTTTTTAATTTAATTTTAATACTAATTAATTTAATTTAAATTTACCTAAATTCAATTTAAAATCTTCACTGATTATAATTGTATGATTGATGGTGTTACGAAAATTTTGTATTTTAATTCATAACCTTGGATTTATATAAAAAAAATATTGCAAAATAAATCATTTGATATTATACATTTTACATGAACATGACCAGAGAATATGTTTATCTTTTTTAATAATTTAATATCATATTCATAATTACCAAAATTTTCCTAATGTTTGTTTCCGTCTTACATCGACCCCCTTACGGTATGATTTGTCACAGAATTTTTTTATTACGTGGAATATTCCCCGAAAAATGCAGATTCTACCCTGCACACGAGACATTTGTTTACGGTACTTTTTAAAGACAAAAATTACCCCGAGGGGGACTTTACACGAAATATTTATTCTTCTTAAATAACATATTCACAACTTTTTAGTATTATTATTACCTCCCTTAAGGGTAATTTTTGTATTTAAAAAGTAAGATAAAAGAAATGTCACGTCTGCAAGGGTAGAATCCACAATTTTTGGGATATAACATTGAATAAGAAAGATTCTGTAAAAAAATCACACCATAAGGGGGCCGTGTAAGGCATAAACAAACATCTGGGGGATTTTGGTAATTACCAATAAGTGGGGGTGCTTTCCGCAATTTATCCTAAGCTTCATGAGAATTTTCGTAATTTATCCTATTAACAACGATTATCGTTCTTTTCACGTCTTAACGTTTGCTTATACCCTTATATTATTTTTAATAATTTTAATGTCAGTTTAATAATATAATTAAATATTGATTTCTAATATATTTAATATATTTAATATGTTTTTCTTCCATTTTATTTTACTTGAATTGATATTGTTACAAAGAGATAATCGTTTACATAAGTTTATTTTTCTCATTTTGAAACTGACCTCCGTGCAACGCACGGGTGAAATACTAGTATTTATTTATTTTTCTTTTCCGATAAACGTAACCCACTCACCTCCCGTGAGTTTTAGTGTAATTGCAAGTAGTCCCCCCTGATTTGAGAAATTACTCAAACCCCCCATGAGGTTTGATATTAGTTAGGGAATACATTAGGAACTGATTGACGGTGAATACTGAATAGAAGAAAATCGAATGCTACAAAGCTACATCATTTATCATTTTCACTTTTTTGTTCGTTTATTTCTTTTATCCTTTTTATCGTTTTTATTCAAATAAACATTTATTTGTCCCTTCTAGCTAATGCATAATCTCTATCTTACTAGCTATTACATGTTTTCTTTAATGACAATCCTAATGTAATTCAACAAACACAATATTATGATTTCATTGGTATTATTAAGGCTGACGTGATAAATATTAGATGAAAAAATACCTAGAAACAAATTAGCCAAATAAATATGTAATTTGATAAAAAAAAAGATATAAAAATCCTAAATTAACTACTGCAACTGCAAGTTTAACATTTTAACTCAATATCAACTGTAGTAATATCGACATTTACTTAGATCCTTAAATTAATATAGTCGGTACTAGCAAAATTATATTAATTTAGCGAAATATTTAATTATCAAACTAATAATTTAGTACGTTTTAACTGAGTCGGGTTAAAAAAAAATTAAGCGAGGTTATTAATTTATTGAGGTTCTACTCTATATGGATTTTCCTGGGGTTTCTACTTTCTAGCATTCAGGATTAAGACTCTACGTCAATTTCTTAACCTTTTAAACCATTTATTTAAAAAAGAAAAAAAAAACAGATATTTTGCGTAAAGGCTCTATGGGAGTTAATTTTTGCCTTTAAAAAGTAGCATAAAGAAATGTCACGTCTTTAGAGATTGGTTGCTTCCAGCTTTTCACTCTTGAGTTGACCATGTATTATACAGCCCGTAATATGACAAAAACACAAATTACCAGAAACTTACTCACGAAATGGAGCAAGCTTGTCATAGTTTCCAAGAACATATCTCTGCGCTTGAGTCCAGGACGTTGTTTCCATGTATATTATTTATGTTCCTCCGATAACACGACCTTCTCCTTTGCAAATATTCTCAAAACCTTCATAATTTCTCCTAGAACTATCACCTATTGACTCCACATCACCCAAGTACCGAGAGCAAAAGTTCATACATTCTTCAACTAAGTATCCTTCGGCAATCGAGCCTTCTGGGCGGCTTCTTGTGCGGACATAGTTCTTAAGTGTACATAAGTACCTGTTGAAAACATTGTTATGAAATGTAGAAACAATACATTTTAAAAATATATATTAATTGTACCTCTCAATTGGAAACATCGAGCGATATTGAACTGATCCAGCCAACTTAGCTTCCTCAGCTAGATGAATTGGTAGATGCTCCATCAAATCAAAGAATGCCGGAGGAAAAATTCTTTCCAGGTGGCAAAGAGTTAATGCTATGCTCTGCTCTAGTGCTTCAAAATCACTCACACGACTTACTTTGGGGTACAATTGCCTAAAGTTATTGCCTAACTCAATCAAAACTTTGCTTACATTTTTAGGCAAACAATGTCTCACAGCTATTGGCAGTAGCAACTCCAATAATATATGATTGTATGGCTTTTAAGTCCAGAAAGATTCCACCTTTTTTTTCTTACACATCTTGAAATGTTTGATGCAAATCCATCAGCCACTTTCACGTCCCTTATTATTTTGCATAACATATCTTTATCTTTCTTACTCATGGAAAAACTTGCATAAGGCAAATAAGCCTTCCCATTGCCATGTAGTTGTGGATGAAGCGCATTTCTGATTTCCAAATCTTGAAGATCTAGACGAGCATTCAAATTATCTTTTGATTTTCCTTTGATGCCCAAAACCGTCCACATAATATTATCACAAACATTCTTCTCAATATGCATTATATCAAGGTTGCGACGAATCAAATTGTCTTTCCAATAAGGTAGCTCGAAGATAATACTTTTCTTTTTCCAATTATGTTGTCTTGAGGTGCCATCGAGCTTCCCTATTTTCAGTGGTAAATATATTCTCTTACCATACATGGTGGCAACATCATTCAACTCATTAATCAAATCATTTTCATAGGCTCGAGTGGGCTTATAGCCATATTCTACATTGCCATCAAATGATATTGAATCATCTCTAAACTTGTGATTTTCATCCAAGAATCTACGATGACCCCTAAAACAATATTTTCTGCCATATTTCAACCATTTCGAGTGGGTGTCGAGACAACAACACGGGAAACCATATTCAGTTTTCACATTCCAGCCAGATAAATTACTATAACCAGGAAGCTCGGAGATTGTCCATATAAGTGCAGCTCGTATGTTGAACATTTGTTTGCTGGTTGCATCATATGTCGGCACTCCTGGACTCCACATCTCTTTTAAATATTCCATAAGAGGTCGTAGAAAAATATCAATATCATTGCCAGGGGCAATAGGACCATCAATTAATAAACATAACATGATACTCGACTTGCTCATGCACATCCCCGGTGGCAAATAGTATGGAACAAGTATTACGAGCCACGTGCTGTGAGAAACACTCATGGACTTGAAATGATTAAATCCTTCGGTCGCTAGTCCAAGTCTGACATTGCGACAGTCACTTGCAAAGAGAGAATGTTGTTGGTCAAATGTCTTCCAAGCGAGAGAATTTGCAGGGTGTCTTTATACCCCATCATCTATTCGTCCTTCTGCATGCCATCTCATGAGTGGTGATGTCTCTGTGCACATATACAGTCTTTGAACTCTTTGTATTAATGGAAAATACCTAACAACCTTACTTGGAATCTTTAGGCGTTAGATCTTCACCATCACAAACTTTATACCTTGGCATTTGACATTTACTGCACCTTGTCTCATTTTCTGTTTCTTTCCAATACAACATACAATCATTAGGGCATACATGAAGTTTCTTATAATCCAAACCAAACCTTTTAATTATCTTCCATGTTTCCCAATACGAACCCGAAAATGCAACACTATGAGGTAAAGCCACTTTTAAGATCTCTAATAGCACTGAAAATGACTTATTACTCCAACGGTAAGTAGACTTCACCCGCAATAACCGAAGTATGAAGGGCAATAACGTGAACTCGCATCCAGGATATAACTTTTGTTTGACATTTTGTAATAGTTTAAAAAAGGCCTTAGTTTCCTTATCAAGCTCAATATTATTAATCTCCTCAGAATATGCAAGACCGTCATTTTCCTCCATAAGACCAAAAGCATCATTAACCATACCATATATATCGTCTCCCTCGTCCTCGAGAAAGTCATCATCTTCTTCATAAATGCAAACACGAGTCTCCCCATGATATACCCAATTGGTGTAGGTATCAAGAAATCCATACATTATTAAATGTTCGTAAACTATTCATTTTCTCCTATTCATTAAATTTTGACACTCGATACAAGGACACTTAATTTTATCCCCCGATCCCAGATTTGCGTATGCAAACTTAAGAAATGATTTGGCACCATTTACGTATTCGGGCTGCAATCGATTTCGGATTTTAATCCAACTTTTATCCATAGATAAAATTGTTTATCCCTTGGATTTTATATTATGTTTAGCAAGGCCAAAGAAAGACCTGCTACCCAAGCTTTTCAATGTCACAACAACAATCTGAAATTGTAATTTGTTGTTTTACCAGAACCAAGAAAATATGGACTCAGATCTGAAAATTATGCACTTCTAAAGTTGATTATGAAGTAGACACATACATAGACACACAAACACACACTAACCATTGTTGGATATTTCAGAGCTTGGATAACAGCACCGCTAATTCCTCGTCAGAAACCTTAGCATCAATGCATGTTCCAGCTGAGCCAGCGAGTCTTGCAGCTAGTTGATGCTTACATTGAAAGTAGGAAGAAATTATCAAATATTCCCATTTCTACCTCATTAAATTCGAGAATCGAATAATAGAATAATACTGGATAAATAGAAGTAAACTCACACAAATCCCTCCCCCTCTGTAAAAAATGTTATTATGAGCTGTAAAAAATGTTATTATGATCACAATAATGTTCTGCAGAGCACAAATTATTATGGACAAATATTAGCACAATAATATTTTGACAAATTAAAAAAAATTATGAACAAAATAACGATTTCATATGCCCTATTTTATCTTATCAATTTGTCAAACCTAATTCCAACATTCAAATTTAATAATTCAATACCACCTCAATTTTTCCCAAAATCTGGAGAAAGAGACTAACCAAAGTTAAATAGCAGCAGGAGATGATGATTTCAACAACGGAGATGACGATTTCAGCAGCGATGACGATGTAAGAATCGGTGACGGTGGCGGTGGCAACAACGGTGGCAATACCTAACGTGGAGGTTTAAATTGGGTTTAATTTGTAATAAAAAATAGTTCAGAGATTTTTTATTGTACGTGTTTGAAAGCGTGATTGACTTTCACGTTTAGAAAATTTGGAAAGCAGCAATACAAAAAGAAAAAGCTTTGGTCTACAAAATTGAAGTGCAAATACAATATTTTATTAAGTTTTATATGACGGTAAAACGTTAGATGGGAGTGTTTAAAAAATCGTCGACAATACACCTTTATACGACGGTTTTATAGCGCCAACAATATTTTGAAAAGCGTCATAAATACGTGTTTATATGACGGTTCTAAAACCGTCGGGTAAACAAAGGGTCGTATAAACCCCAAATTGTTGTAGTGTTAAAACTGAAACAGGCTGAATAATAAAATTAGTTGATAAAATTATTTTCATGATTAATATTTTTTTTTTAAATAGTGATTAAAAATAAATTATCCATCAAATAAATATAGTATTATTGTTAAATTTAAACTAGAGTTGCTTGCAACTGAAAAATTATATATTTTAACAGTTCTACTACTAAGTTAAATATTTTACTAAATAAATATATAATTGGAAACAAGAATCATTTTATTCACAATCCAAAGAGAAAGGGATTAAACTATCCACATTTTATTACACTTCTCATCAGTCAACACACTGATTACTTATTCATGAGTGATAAAACACAATTTTCTCAAAGAGACACACACACACAGACAATTCAACCAATAGGCTGAATATCACAATACTGATTAAGAGCAAAAGAAGAATCAAAGTTTGAGCCGCTAAGTATAGAAGAAGCCACAATCTTGTTAGCAGCTTCAGTCAAATGAATCCCATCCCAGCTCACGTAATTCTGCGGATCATTACAAGCCGAAGCCGTCACTGTCTGACCGTTGACAACCTTTGTAGCTCCACAAAACACTTGTTGGTTATAATTGTACGAACCACCACCGTATCCGCAGCATGCAGTTGTCGCATGCTGCATCCCTATTTTAATTTAACCAAAAAAATTAGTTATATAAATAAATAAGTAAACATTAAAGAAAAAGAAAATTCGATTTCTGGATATAGGGGGTTATTCAAGAAAATGTACCGTGTGAAGTGGGGTTTCGGAAAAGGTCAAGAATGACGGAGTTTGTGTCAGCGTAGATCACGTTTGCGTCGTTGAGTTCTTGCCTAACTTGGGAGAGAGCTTGCTTGAGATTCTCGTTGTAATCGTTTACTGCGTTGTTGTATGACATCATGCATCCGGAAGGATCTATATCCGAGCCACCCTGTGATTGTTGTACCAAGAATGTAGGGTAACAACCCACCGGAGCTAGGTTTAGGACCATAAATGTTCGCCCTCCTAGCCAATAGATTTCCTGCATGCATGCATGCAGTCAGTGGCGAAGCCAAGATTTCTTCACCTGGGGTCGAATATCCATAACAACTAATAAAAATAAATTAATAAGAACAGTAATTTTTCTAAGAGCGACAATAGTTTGAGCAATCCTATATATGTTTGTTGCTTGTAGCGTAACATATATGATCAGTGGCGGAGCCAGTTCATCTACATGCAGATTATTCGGTAAGTAAAAATTTGAAAGATACTATAAGTTGTGGGGGGCATGGCCCCCCATGTTAGTATAGTGGGCCCCACCTTGATGGCGCTAACAATTTGGGAAATGATTTGTGGTTGAATTTGCTTGACACCGCCGGGGCCCGCTGAGGATGCATAGCCAGTGAAGTCGTTTTGGCCGATGTAGAATGTGTAGAGCGATTTTCCGAATACATCCGGTTGAGGAAGATTGGTTTGTCCTACAAAGTTTGAACTTTTCAGAGGTTTTTTTAATGATGTTACATGCAAGTAAGAAGCCAAAAAGAAACAAAGAACATTTTGTACCTTGGGATTTGAATTCTTCAACTCTTGCCTTGAAATTCTTCATTTGGTTGATCTGGACAGCCAGATAAAAGGGGCTAACACCGGTGACATATAAGGAAGTGTTTGGCTGAAGAACCGTCGAAGCTGACGTGGCAAAGTTGGCTCCGTGTCTGTAATCAGATCCAATTGACTGCAGGTAAGGGCTCAGAAATGGCAATCCCAAACCTTGAGCTGCATTAGTTCAACAAAATTAAATAAAAAATGTCATAGCTAGTATTAAAACCTTAATTTCATCAAAAAAAAAAAAAGAAAAACAACATTAAACACACACACACACACACACACACACACATATATATATATATATATATATATATATATATATATATATATATATATAATACCTAGGAAATCGATAAAGAGACGGCCATTGCTAGGTCGGCCAGTCGGGCGGTTAAAGTAGGTCATGCCGTTGGGAGAAGACTGAGATGGAAAAGCAGCAAAAAAACCACCGGTGTCAGAGTTCGAGTCACCGAAGTTGAAGATTGCCTCAAATGCGCATTTTGCATCACCCCTAGAAACAATCACCGCCATGACAACCACCGCCAAAGAAACCCTAAAAATGGCACGTTTTTCATGAGAAAAATGAGCCATTCTCGAAAGCCAAAATTCTAATGTTGAAGACTTAATATATATGTATTGCTATAGAGAAAAGTGTGAGATGGAGAAAAATGATTGAAGTTGGCTACATTTATATAGAGGTGGGATTTGTGAGAAGGAAGCAAATTGCTACACGAAAGCTGAAAAAAAAACTCCAAATTTTCTTGATGAAAATCAGTTCAAGAAATGGTGACAAGGATTAATTAAAATGGATGATTATACAGATGTCCGATGAAGCAAGCAGTTGGTAAATAAGGGCTAGGGTTTAATGCAAGAGAAGCCAAATGCATGATACGTACGTAATTGAATCTGCAACCACTATGACATGATCATTGTATATATGTGTTAATGTGTGGACAAACAATACAGATGAACAGATCAGAAAAGAGGAAGAAGCATTTAATTTATATTATATGGTAGAAAATCATAAGATGACAAAAATTGCCAACTACTTGTTAGCTAGGCCATATATTCATGATCGATCACGCGCTACAATGATGACTATATATATACAGTATAGGTATTTATTACAGGGTGGGCTTAAAATTGCGGGGACTGGACCTAATTTTGGATATGCTGGTTTTTTTTTTTGTCAAATTGGCGTTGATCTTCCAAAAAAGTGTCAAAATCAAATGAATAGTAGAAAAACGAGCTAAAGATAAAACTGGGTTCTTTGGTTTCAAAGGATTTTGGATAGAGAAAAATGGGTTACATCCGGTTAACTTATAAAAAATTGGTTGAAATCGGTTGAATAGTTGCAGAACGAGTTATCAAAATATGTTGTATGGTTCAAAGGCATTTCAATTTGACGAAAATGGTGTTATATATATCATTGTATAATCCAAGTCCAAAATAATATATAGTTTGTGAAATTTCAAAAAAACTGATGAAGAGGCGATAGAGGCGGAATTGCGTGAGGCCAAGTTTTTCCGAACCGGAACGACGAGGTCGTTTAGGCCCTCAAAACGACGTTTTTGCCGTTTTAGGAAATTTTTAAATAATTCATAATTAATTCTAGAAAATTCGGATTTGATATCCGCGAGTTGGTATATTTCCAATTTTCGGATTTAGGAGTTATTTCGTTTTTGCTTGTTTTTGGTAATTTTCTCGTTTTCCTAGTTTGGTTAGGGTGTTTCCGTTTTCATTAGTATAAGTAGTTGCGATAGGGTTTATTTTTCAGCATCGTGTACTATCAATAAAACTTCAGAGTTTTCCCTCAATTTTCTGGTGGATTCCAGAGTTCTCGTGTTCTTTCGGATTAATTCATGCAATTAGTTCCTTATTGTGCTTCTGCATCAAAAACAAATTGGTGCTCACCGCAATTTCTTTTTCTCCACCGTCGCAACAATACGTGCTTTGAAAGTCTACATTGAAACATGCCAAAAATGAGTTAAAAGATCATACCGATTTAATTGGCATGCTAGGCTACGAATTATGCTTGTAAAAGACAAACAAAATCACTCTTCTGTTCGGCAATTTGTTAGTTCTTGTCGCAAAATTATACCATTTGCAAAATTGGGGGAAATGGGTTAAATCGGTCTTATGAGGTTCAAAATAGTTTCAGTTGGTGTCGAAATCGGTTGAATAGTTGAAACACGAGTTAAATCAGTCACAATAATGTCAAAACAAGTTCAAGCGGTGCTATCGATCAAGATGGTTCAGAGTTAGTTAAAACGGTTAAAGAAAGGAGTATTTTGGTTCGACTGATCGATTTAATTGAGTAACAAGTTGAGCCGATTTGATATTTATATGTTGTGTTGGCGCCATATTTTTATCGATAAAGAAATTCGCTACACTTGGGAAGTAAAGATTGACAAAGATTTGTTCCCATGTTTATTTTGGAAATTTAGAGTCCTACCTTCGTAATACTTTAGGACTTAGATTTATTTCCTTGTACTTTACTCTTGTTAGGAATCTTTTATAGTTATCTAGATTAGAACTAGATATTGATTAGGATCTATTTCCTAGTTATTCGGTTCCTTTGGAAGGCAGGTCTTTGGAGGCCGTCCTCACGCCTATATAAGGCTCCTCGCCTCACAAAGACCGTGACACTTTTTGTTGGAGAAAACTCACTCCATAGTTTTGAAGAATCGCTGAACGTTCTGCTGAACAGAACTGTGCCATCGTTGGATGTGTCAACTTATACAGATCTGCTGTATAGATCTCTCGAGAGATCAACCGCGTTACTGAAGGAAGTTCAGGCCAGAAAGGAGTTCTAGGCACGCGGTGTGGAGCTGCTGTTGGAAGAGACACGGAGTTCGAGTTGTGTACAAGAACGGCATATTACATAAAGATGGAGTCTTTAGTGTTTTTGTTAAGTCCTATTAGTGTACACTATAAATCTGAACTAGTGAAATCGTGTTTGCAGGTCCACGTGGATGTAGGGCACAATTGTGTCTGAACCGTATTAATTCTTGTGTTCTCTTTATTTGCTTTAGTAGAATATAAATGTGTTAACACAAGAATTACAGTTGTAACTAAAACTTTGTTTCAACTAAACAAACTGTTACAACTTGGAATTACTGAATTTATAGGCATATAAATCTACAATTGGCATCAAGAGCCTCTCACTAGATATACATAGTGTGTGATTTTGGGAATTTGATTTATTTGCCATTTATTGTTCATAGGTACTATGAGTCTCATATGGAAGGAGGTTCCACTACTCGCCCACCACTGCTCACGGGAACCAACTACTCCTATTGGAAGACTAAGATGAATATGTTCATAAAATCAATGGATGAAGACGCATGGCGAACAGTGTTGACTGGATGGAAGCGACCCGTTGCCACAGATGAGAAAGGGATTGAAACTGAGAAGCATGAGAAAGACTAGAGCAAAACTGAACAAATTGCAGTAAATATGAATTCCAAAGCCTTGAATGCTATATTCAATGGAATTGATATCAATCAATTCAAGATAATCTCGGCGTATGAGTGTGCTAAAGAAGCATGGGAAAAACTCCAAACAGCTTACGAGGGAACTGCTTCAGTTAGACTATCCAAACTTCAAATGCTTGCTACCCGGTTTGAAGATCTTCGAATGGAAGAAAATGAGACCGTGAGCGAATTTAACTCCAAATTATGTGACATATCAAATGAAGCTCATGGCCTCGGTGAAATCTATCCTGAAGTTAAGCTTGTAAGAAACGTACTCAGATACGTGCCAGATCGATTCGCGTACAAGATCACTGCTATAGAGGAAGCCAGTGATGTGGACTCATTGCGACTTGAAGATCTAATTGGAAATCTACAAACTTTTGAAAACAAGTTGAACATCAGCAGAATGGACAAGGGTAGAAAAATTGCTTTGCAAACTGTATCGGACACCACAACATCTGTGTCTACCGTTCCTATGACAGCCCTTGAAGTCAAGCTCACAAAATCCATGTCCTTAATAGAAAAAAAAACTTTGGAAAGTTCATGAAGAGAAATGGACATCCTACAAACTCTGAGAGAAAACCCAGGACCTCTACAGATAAGCCAGAAGTTAATAAGGGAATTCAATGTAGAGAGTGTCATGGTTATGGTCATATCCAGGCATAATGTGCTAACACTCTGAAAAAACAAGGAAAATCACTTGCCACAACCTGGAGTGATGACAACTCAGATTCTGATGATGAGAGTGAAGCTAGTGACGATGATACAAACAATGATTTCTATGGAACTTGCAGAATCACATAAGACACACTCGAAGACATCACATGCACAGAACCGCCACATCTCTGGTATGTTACACAGAAAAATGAAAATCACGAAAAACTAAATATACCTTTTATGTCCACAGGGAATGACGAATCAGAAGATGAAGGTGAAGATTCCATCCAACAAATTCAACAAAAATTGGATGATCTCCTTAAGCAATGTCATAAAGTTAGTAATCAAAATAAAATCCTGAAAGAAAGAATCAAAGAACAAAGGAAGAGAACAAAGGAGTTATAACAAAATCAGTTGAAGTATTGGCAGGACTATGATGGTGAAAGAGCAAAAAGAATCAGGAAAAATCTTTTTCCAAAAATACATGCTGATGATCACCAAGATATTTCACCACCTGCTGCCACAATGTTTGAGGCTTCTATCAGTAAGTTGAATCGCACTGCATTTCTTCCCTCAAATAGATTAGATGAAATCATAAATGCTCATCCTTCTAATCCCAAGAGAATTGGTCTGGGGTATACTGATGGACAATCTAATTCTAACACTGGTTCAAACCAGAAAATTAGATTCGTCAATCCCACATCTCCGCATGTGACTACCCAAACCCATCCTACTAGGTTTATTTCTATCTGTCACTTATGTCACAAAGTAGGGCATGTCAGGCTTAAATGCTTTAAAAGATGGAAACTGATAAATAAACAATTAGCATATCAGCCATCCAACTCCGCTGCGTGGGATAGTTACTCCCAAAGAAAAAACTGTTATAAAAAATGGATGACAAAGGATAGTACTAACTGCTGGTCAGCTATTTTATCTTTAAATGCATGTGATACTAACTCTTGGTATTTTAACAGTGGATGCTCCAAACACATGAGAGGTGAAAGGAATTTCTTGTCAATTTGCATAACATGTCTAGTGGACAGGTTACTTTTGGAGATGGAAATAAGGCTTACGTAAAAGGAAAAGGGGACTTGAATGTTGGAGGATTGCCAAACCTGAACAATGTTCTGTATGTGGAAGGTTTGAAATCAAATCTTCTGAGTGTAAGTCAATTGTGTGACCTATACGACTCAGTATTGTTCACAAAGCGTAAGTGTGAAGTATTTGATGAAAGCAAAAATTGTGTTCTAACTGGATACAGGTCATTAGATAATTGCTACAAAATTGATCAGAATGATAAATCGGATCAATGTCATCACACTTCTTCTGATCTCACTGATCTCTGGCATCGGAAACTAGGTCACCTAAATTTTCATGATCTAATCCGTCTTGTTAATGCAGGCTGCGTGAAAGGGGTACCACAACTGAAGTCTGACACACCAGAGTCATGTGGTGACT